CATGCCTGCAGTTGTAAGGTTAAAAAAGAGGAACTTCTCTCACCCACCCTGTGCACATCAGTATGCAGGGCACAAGCTGGGCAAGCAAAGGGTATAAGATACCAACAACAGACAGCAACAACAATAATGGTAACCAAGGCTTTCTGGGCCCACCAGTGTTCCTCTTCATCTCTCTGTTTAACCCCGCATTGTCTATTAGTCATGTTTCAGCAAGACTAAAAAATTGGTTTGTTAAAAATAATGTATTAACTCAAACTGCAATATTAATCACTAGGAGTAATGCCCGTTGTGGGAAGAAATATGATGAGATCTAGAAGGAAGCTCCAGATGAATGTCCCAACTGTGTCTGGTGGGGCGGCAGAGGGAAGTGGAAAATGGAGGGAGGCAAGCCATGTTTCTTTCCTTCTGCTTAGCTATAAGGCAGGGCTGTCTCAAGTCATTTGGCTGCCCCAAGCGGGTAGAATGGGAGGACAGCCTCATGGTAACAGATATGGTTCTCTCCACCTCTGACTTATTTTTTGAGGGGCAGGTGGGTGTTATGCAGTGGCAGCTAAGGTAGAAAAGCACCTCCTCCTGTGCCATGTTCTCTGGGTTCCAAGGGTCTGGAAAGTAGTTCCATATAGCACACGGTTGCCAACTCTGGGTTGGGAAATACCTGTAGATTTGAGGGGTAGAGCCTGGGGAGGGCAGGATTTGGGGTGGGAAGGGACCTCAGTAGGGTATAATGCCATAGAATCCACTGCCCAAAGCAGCCATTGTCTCCAAGAGAACTGATCTGGGTCATCTGGACATCAGTATTAATAGCTGAAGCCCTGACTGCTACATCACATTGGCTATACAGGGGCCATCTCAGCAGGATATAAGGACACAGAGTCCACCATTTTCTCCAGGGGGACTGATCTCTGCCATCTGGAAAGCAGTTGTAATTCTGAGTGATCTTTAGCCCTCACCTGGAGATTTGCAACCATGGTTTCCCCCAACAGACACTAAGAGGAAATTTATTTTACCTCAGAACATCAGCAACAAACTGTTTAGAATGTTAGAGGGAAAGGCCAGTGAGGCCGCATATGCAAATGACCTCTGTGTTCTGACTGGGTGTGGGGGGGAGAGGAACAGCAAGCTGTTTAGAATGTTGGAGGCAGGACTCAGGCAAAGCAGCCAGTGAATAGGGAGACCCTCTGAATGACAGATCAGAGAGTGAACTGATTTTGGAGCATGTTGGAAAGTTCAGGGGAGTCCATGACCAAAATAGAATTATATATACCGGAGGATACTTATGATTTTTTGTGTGTGAGTATATATATATAGTAAACTTCAGTAGTTAAGAGATTCTGTAATGGAAATTTATATGTAATTCATACAAACGAAAAGAAACTGGCAGGATACCTTTTCTTGTTTTCTTTTTACACTGAAATGCTGTGAAATGCTATCAATAATGAACAGCTGGAAACTTCATGCCACTTATTCTAAATACACTTAGACTGTGGCTCAGCGGTAGAGCATCTACTTGGCGTGCAGAAGGTCCCAGGTTCAATCCCCAGCATCTCCAGTTAAAAGATCTGGAAGTAGGTGATGTGAAAGACCTCTGCCTGAGATCCTGGAGAGCTGATGCCAGTCTGAGTAGACAATAATGACTTTGATGGACCAGGGGTCTGTGTCACTATAAGGCAGTTCCACAGGTTCATGTATTCTGGGCAAACTCCATTGGCTTCAATGACTGGCCATCAGATTAAGTGATCTGGGTGCATGTGCCAATACTTCTGGCTATGTGAAATTATCAACCATATCTAAACCTTTGTTACCAGAATAAACATTTACATTCTGGGATAAATAATCTGTGAACTAATAGGCTTCAGGACCATATGCTCTCACTTCAGAGGGACAGAGTCATTTACTGGCAAACAAATCAGAGATACTAACTTAACATGAAAAAAAACAAAAACAAATCCAGGTGGGCAGCTGTGTTGGCCTGAAGCAGTAGAACAAAGTTGGAGTTCAGTGGCACCTTTATGAGCTTTCATGTGCATACACACTTCTTCAGATACATTGAAATGGAAGGCAACAGTTAATTGTATATGTAGAGGGTGAACAGCAAAATCAGCACACAACACAGTGATGCTGTTTTAACAGATACAAAACCTAACAGGAATAATAAGTTAAGTTTACATGCTCACAATTTGTTTGGATTCAATTATGGGGAAACACAATAAATATGTCAAAATGGGAGACTGACTGTGTAAAAGTATCCTACTTAATTGTAAAATGCTAAGAACAAGCCGATGAGCTGCGGTGGCTCACGTGGTTAAGATGCTGAACTGCAGGCTGTGGAAGGTCGGTAGTTCAGCAGTTTGAGACCCGGGTGCCGCATGACGGAGTGAGCTCCCGTCTCTAGTTCCAGCTCCTGCCAACCTAGCAGTTTGAAAACAAGAAATTGCAAGTAGATAAATAGGTACCACTTCGGTGGGATGGTAACAGCATTCCGTGTGCCTTGGTGTTTAGTCATGCCAGCCACATGACCACGGAAACGTCTTCGGACAGCGCAGGCTCTTCGGCTTTGAAACGGAGATGAGCACCGCAACCCTAGAGTCGGATTTGACTGGCCTTCGAGCAAGGGAACCTTTACCGTTACTAAGAACAATCAACTGATAAAAAAACAAGTGACTCAGGAAACTACTGATACATATGAAATATATACTCAAAACAACTATGAAGAACAAAGTGTTCCTAACTATAAAACAAAAATAAAATTAACAGAATTTATTCCAGTATTTCTGAGTCAGTGAAGTGACTCTGACACAGGAAAGCTTATGGTGAAATAAAACCTGATAGTCACTAAAGTGCCACAGGACTCCTGTTTTATTTTGCTGCTACAGACTAACATGACTATCTTCCAGGAATTTTTTAAAACTGTGGTTTCTAAAAATGCTGTTTCATCTTAACTGTGGGCGCGATCACACGCAGAATTAGCCATGCCATAGACGCAAATGCCAGGCAGATTTTAAGAGTGCGATCAGACCCCAACATCTGCCAAGCGTCCTGCTCCTGTCGGCAACCTGTTTTGCTCCGCTGCAGAAGCGGAGTAAAAAGACACCGGGGAAAACCCAGTAGCAAACTGGTTTGCTACGGGCCAGGAACAGACTTTTCACAGTGTGATCATGCCAGTGCGCTTCCATAGCGTCAGGATGGTCTGATCGGGCCATCCTGACTCCACGTCATTGTTTTTTCCCCGTTTCGGTATGTGCATCATCGCACACTCAGTGCAGAGGTGCGAATCAGCAATCCCTCATTGAAGTGCACCGGAAATAGATGGCCAAAAAACCCACCCCCAACTCACCCGCAATTGCGTCTGATCACGCAGTGCCGGGCCGCCCCCACAGCTCCCAGGAACTGTGTGATCGTGCAAATGCGAGTCAAATTATTGTGGAGCAAATAGCCTTGCCCCCCCCCCCCCCGCGCATTATCTCTCCCGTGTGAACACTGCCTGTGTCTTGGAGATTTAATGGATCATAATCCCTGGTTCTTTTTTGTGACCTTTTATAATTCCAGGTATCTGCTCAGAGCACAATTTCCAACAGAAAACTAGCATGAAAGAAAGAGAGAACTTCTTAACCTTCTCCTTGTGCCATATTCTCTCTGAGTTACCAACAGCTTTTTGCATTTTTTACTTGGACAAACACACTTACCAGTTGCATGTTCCTATACAGCTGAATGGCAGATCCAGGTTACTACCAGTATATGGAAACACACCTACTGAATACACTGACTTATACATTCACCCATAACTAGCGAGAAACTGATTTTAGATTTCATAACACATTGCAACTTGCGTACCCCGCTTCCCTGTGTGTTGAGAAGTTCTGGTTCAGTGTATTTTGGATGAGAGAAAACTAGAGTTATGACATCATTCTAATATTTACTTTGGTAATATATGTCCTATTCCAGTACAGTTTTAAAAAGGCTACACATCCTCAGGGAGCAAACTGTGCAAGCCCTCCAGTCTCCAAGACCACCCCTCCCTCCCTCCCTCCCTCCCTCTCTCTCTCTCTCTCTCTCTCTCACACACACACACACACACACACACACCCCTGGTTTGCAGGTTGATTCCCCTTTTAGGAAACCAGCCGCAGTTATGAAGAAACATTAACTAGTTTTGTCTTTCATAGTGATCAAGCTGCCCAAATGATCAACAGTATTGTGTCAGGCTTAATTATTGACTACATAGACAGACAGACAGACATTATCATCTATCTACCTACCTACCTACCTACCCTGTGTGGAAAAATCTTACTCTGCCAATGCAAATATACTTAGGGAGAACCGTTGGTCCGTAAAAGTAAGCGCACAGTCCACAAACATCCATTACCGAGTTCTCCCTTTCCTTCAGAGCCATATACAGACCGATTCAGAGCTAGATGCAGATTCCTGCCCGCTCCCAAAGGACTTTGCTCCACGCCGATTGAGAACCCCCTCCCTCCCTCCCTCCCTCCCAAAAACTAACACGCATTCCACATTGACGCGAACTGTGCCCCTAACGCCTGCGCCAAGTGCCAGTCGGGGGGCGGGGGGGACCCCGGGGGGACCCCAGTTCCTCAGTGCATTTGAAGCATAGCCATGAGTAATCTTCTGGGACGAAGGGCAAAGGCTTCCGTGACAAAAGCTGTGACTCGAGCCCCTGGCTTCAAGAAATGAAGGACTGAGCAGGAAGCCGAGTATCTCTCCCTCTACGCAGTTGGCATGCCGGGACCCAAGTTCTGCCCCAGGTGTCCACGACTTGCCACGTGTCTCCCCTGCCTATCCCAAGTCATGGGCGCCCCCGAGAGCGCGCGCGCGCGTGTGAAGCGGCCCCTGCCTGGACTTTCCTTGCTGACCCCCCTCCTCCCCCCCCTCCTCAAGGGGGGGGGGGGGGGGGGGGGCTGACAAAAAGAAGCAGCAGGACCCGAGAGACCTCGAAGTTAGCCAGCGCCCGCTCTTGTCTCCGGCCGCCCGGTGGACTCTTTTACCTGCCGAAGTGTCCAAGGGAGTCAAAGAGGAGCTCGAAGTTGCGCGCCATGGCGGGGGCCGTAGCCGGTGAGCGAGAAGGAAGGACAGAGTCCCATCCCAAGCACTTGCCAGCCCCAACCCCCCCCCCCTCCCTTCTCCCTCCCACCCGGCTGACCCTTCAGGCAAGCAAGTGGGCCACGGCGGAAACCCTCCTCGGGCGCTGGCGCCAGGCCCAGTCCACCGGATTCCCACCGCACACAAGAGGAATTCTAAGGGGGACCGGCGAGTTGTCCTCCGCTAGCTAGTCGGCTCCACCTAGGGGATGGGATTGGGAAGCTCCTGGAGATTTGGGGATGGAGCCTGGGGAAGGCACCGACCTCATTGGGGTACAATGCCATAGATTCCACCCTCGAAAGCATCCATTTTCTCCAGGGGAACTGATCTCTGATAAGATATAATTCCAGGGGATTCTCCAGGTCCCACTTGGAGGCTGGCATCCCTAAGCCTGATGAACAGTTCTGGATAGCTTAAAAGTTTGAACATTTTTTGGATTTTTTAAGGTTGTGGTGGTGTTGCTGCTGTTTGTGCCCCTCCCACTGGTTTTGACTGCAGAACCAAGGAGGGTGTTAAATACAGTCCCAGTGGTCTTCTGATTAATGGCTGCTCCACACCTTAATCACATCATATAGGTCTGAAATGAATTTATTTTAAGAAGAATGTGTCATCAAGTTTGACTCATGGCAACCACATCTGCAGGGCATTCCAAGCAAAAGACAGGCAGATGGTGGTCTCCCATCCAAGCACTTACCATGGCCAATTCTACTTAACTCTCAAACTCTAACAAGCCCAGACTAAGCAGGTCTATTTCAGCTGCTGGAGTTCATGTTGAACAAGCAAATAAATCTGTGTCTTGGTGTCAGAAGACCACTGGGACTGTATTGGTGTTTTATATTTCTCATTTATATCCCACCCATCCTGTAAACGGGCTCAGGGCAGGTTACAACATTATAAACACATACAATCTATCAATAAAATCAATAATCAGCTTGTTAGATCAGCTTTTTTGCTGAGAGCTGACTCGCACAGAAAAACATTGATGGGTTTAGGGGCCAATGCAGCTATGAGTTACTCTATACTTAATGCAAATCAGTATCTTATAAAAGCTGTGGTGGGGATAATTGGAGAGAAGAATGGCTGTGGACACATGGTGGTAAAGAAGAGGGCCTGGACTGCAGCAGTGGCAGCACAGAGAAGGCCTACGCTAATTAAGGATATGTCATAGATTGCCACAGGATGTGGAAAAGGTGCTGAAACATGAAGCACGATAATGCTTGGTATAAAGCTAGGGGTGACATATATGGATGGTAAATGGTTTGAAACTCCAGCAGGATCTAGAATGTGAGCTTTGTAAAAACTCGTAGGGAGGAGAAGCTGAAAGATGACTGAATGTGGGAATTCAGCTGACAAGATCATGCACATAGGCGTAAAGTTCATGGGGGGGCGTCAGGGCGTCAGCTTCCCCCCCCCCCGAAATTTTCAGGAAGGGGCTCAGCCTTCCCCGAGGGCAACTGGTTCCAGCCACCCTTGCTCCCCCCCCCCTTCTGAAACTATGTTCAGCAGCTGGGTTGAGACTGGGAGGGAGAAAGGGAGGGAAGTTAGGGCGGGGGCTTGCTTCCTCCTGGAAGTGAAGCCCCACCCTCAGCTCCCAGCAGCCCTTAGTTCTGCCGGGCTGCATGTGGAGTCTGGCTTTCCTGGTTTACTGTGCACGCACACAAAGGTAGGAAGCATGCTTGCCCGGGCTCTCCCTTACTGCTGAGTCGCCGAGGCGCATTCGTTCAGCCCGCCTCTCTGCCCCACTCACCCAGCTACCAGTAAAATCAGCGCGGACCGGGAGGGGAACTTGGCCCGGCGGACTTGCCCTGCCGAAGGGAGTACGGAAGCTCAGGGGCTGCGGTCCCTCCCACATCCCGGACGGCTTCCACGGCACCTCCTCCACTTCTTGCGCCCAGCTGCTGCCTTCTTCTGATTCCCCTTCGCTGCTGCTCTTGCTGCTGCACGCTGGGACCACGTTGGCCGGCTTTGTAAGGGCATGGGTGGGGTGGGGGCCTGAGAGAGGGCAGTGTTAAGTGAGCCTGAGGCTGAGTAGTCCGAAGGAAAACTGCCTTTGCTCTCTTTGGAATACCCTTCCCGTCCTCCCCACCCATCTGTTGTGCTGCTTTTATTCTCTCTCTCGCCCCCTGTTTTTAACCCCCCTTCAGTTGTACTTCAGTTTCGTCTGAGTGTGTGAGTGCCCCCCCCACCCGGGCTCGCGAGCGAGCACGGCAGACTCAGCTCCGACTGGCCGGAGCCTGGAGCCTGATG